AGAGTGTCTGCCTCTATAAATAGACTGTGTTTAAAAGATGTTATGGAAGAGGAACAAGTATTATCTGACAAGATTGAGACTGATCTGAAAGTGGATTTAAAAATGACAGACTACGAGAATGATATGGAAAAAGATGCTATACTGGACATACAAAAGAAACCGGCTGATGTCTTAATAATTAAAGGGGAAATACAAATAACAACCAAAAGAGTGGCCTGGATAATTTTCCTATATTGCATTTACAAAAGATGCTTGTTAAAGCTTTGAAAAATTTTGTGAGAAGGGACAAAGAAAAATGAAATCAAGTTCTAGGACATTATTTGAAGAGACTGAAGATCAATATCGTTAGAAGTAAAAGGAAGGAATATAAAGTTGGTTTATTTGATTGAGGTTAAAATAGATAATGTTATTATTTCTAGTAACCCTTAATGGACTTTTGCTGACATTAGGATTGAAATGAGATTTTATGGATTTGTTTAGAGATAAGAGATGGGATATGGGAAGAAGAGATCATTTGTTGTATTTTAAGAGAAGGTGATAAGTTACTAAAATTGTTTATACTTGTTGTGATGAAGGGGGAAATCACACACACACACACACACACATTCTTTATTATATTCTTATTTTTTCTTTCTATTTTCTCTATTTTTTCTTTTCTTTTCTTTTTTAGTTTGTATTAGTTTTTATTGTTGTAAATTGTAATTTTTAATAAAATTACTATAAAAAAGCAAATAACTTTATTTTCAAATAAGACATCTACTGTATATATAGGCAACTGATGATGGCAAAACTGTTGTCCCCTTCTTTCCATTTGTCCTAAAGCTGTGGGGGAGGAGGTTCACCACTCTGGTGGAAGAGGAGCTGTCTGAATCTGCTGACTGTTTTGATAGCTGCTACTCTTTTATCAGCGTGAGAAATAACTCTTATAGGAATCACAGGACAATGCTTGAAAAAGCATGCAGGACTGTAACCTGTCCTTTGTGACAAATTCTTTGTATTTAGGATTTTTGAAGACGGATTTGTTCTTATACACCTGATTTTTGTTTCCTTCCTAAGCCATCCTTAAGACTTCCAGAAAAATAAACTTCAGTTATGGTTGTTTTTCACTATCCTGGGATTTACTATCTCACTTCTAACTGCTGTTCAAATATTATTGTGCCTTTATAGAGTAAATGAGAATACAATGTCTAAGTACCATTTCATTAATCTCTGCAGTTTATGCTTGAACAGGTCATAATTTCCACAAAGCTGAACTGGTGAAAACAAGCTGAAAATGTGTTTATTTTAACTTTGGCATGTTCATGCCATTTCCTATTTTTATCTGAGATGAATCTGGGGTAGGATTTTAACAGTATTAGAAGGAAAGTTAAGGTTACAACACAAGAATGTAACTTTTTGGGTTTTTTTGGCAAGTTCTACTGTCATGTCAACAAAACATTTTATCTTTGAAGAACTCTTGCTCTTAAAACTGAGATCACTTGAGTATTTAATAATATCCGCATATGAACATAAACTTGAATATGTTCACATGTTCATTTTCAGTTTTGCACCTCCTTAGATCTCCCATGAGTTAGGCTCACCTAGAATTGACAGTCATACTCTGAAAAGTCTTCTGTGACAAAAGCTGGTTTTCTTAAGGTGATGGTCTTCATATGCTGGGGATACAGCTCCCAGAATACCCAGTGAGTGAAGTCAACAGAAATTCTTGGAGTTGTAGCCTAAGCATATGTGGAGAACAGTAGGTTATGGGTAGCTTATTAAAGCAGCTAGTTAAGCAGTACAATTTGAATCTTTATTCCCTCTAGCAAATATGGCAACATGGTGGATAAGGGAAGGAAACAAATATGCATTACAACTTTCTGCTCCTTAAACTGGTAGCTTTAAAGGAATAGAGTCAGTCTTTGTATTGTGACCTGGCAACTAGGAATTTAATCCAGGGCTTTTCCATTCAAGTTAGAAGTCATTGTAGTGATGTCAACAAAAGTAGGTCTCAGTTAAATGAATCCTTTGATGTTAATGCAACAAATATGTTCTGGGATAAGTATGCAAACAGTTCCATGCCCTTTCATGTCTGGTTGGAGTAAGTGTCAGCCTGACCAGGCTGTAATTGAGATGTACAAATAACCCTCATATTCGAGAGTGCATAGTTAATGTCACTGTACTGGAGTAATCCTGAATGCTACTGCCTCATATTTCAATGTATGCCAAGTTATTTGAGTATCTGGTGAATTGACAAGTTCCTACAAAAGTTACTTGGCCAACACCTTCTGTGAGCAGAGAAAAAAAGGGATTAATGCAAAGAGAATGACAGTCCTTCCAACATTCTGCTGCTATGAACTACTGTAATAACACCAGGACAAGTTGTACCTTTTAATTTGTCAGTTGAACTTACTGCCTTCTGTTTGCTTTTCAGTAGAACAGGTCTCTGATAATATCTGTGTAAGAGTTTGGTACTAAAGGATATTCTTCTGCCTTTCTCCAAACTGAAATATTCCTTATTGTGCAGAAAATTCTGGATATAAGCAAATTCTTTGAACAACACATAATTGACATATGAAAATCCTATCCATGAGTTGTGAAGAGCCCTTCTTAGCTCTTCTGCTTGCTACCCATGTAAAGGAGCCCTACAGTCACTAACCTCTCAGCACCTTTCTATTCCACTTTGTGTTATGGGAAGGTCCAATGGGGCTGATCTTTATACTGAATGTTTATAGTTTCCCCATGATTCCTGCTAGACCATAGGAAAGTGTCTTAATGTATTTAGTCAAGAAGTCAAGCCTTCTTCATAGCTTCTCATTCAAGATCAGGGATACACTGCAGGAACACTGGGATATGTGGGCAAACCCAATCCTACATGTGCTCTACATTAATTGAAGTAGGCCTTTCATTAGGTGGCTTCAAAGAGGATTAAGCAAATGCATGGAGGAGACTCCTACTAATATCAAGAACAGTTTGAGGGCATTGATATGTTCAGAGGCAGTAGATGTATGATTATCTATGATTGTGGTGTCCTTGGGGTTCTCTGAGCTTGGTTGTTTTCTTGCAGACATTTCATTACCTGACTCGGTAACATCTTCACTGCTAGAAGGGAGTGGGGTTTGCTCCCTGTTTATATACAGTAGCTTGCCCTGCCAGTGTTGGATGGGGATGTTCTTTCCTTGCTAGTTCCTTGATTAGGCTGCTGTTTGTCTGGTGTTAATCCTGGTGTTAATCCCTGCTTATCTGGGTGTTGATTGCGGGTGTGGAGGTGTTCTGGTCCTTCTGTTTCTTTTTTTTAGATTTTTGTTGTCTCTTTTGAATGGTGTGTAAATGTTGCTTATCTCTTTGTGCCTTTTGATGGCTGACTTCTCTGAATACCAAGCTTCCAGGAATTCCCTAGCATTTTTGGATTTAGCTTGGTCTAAAATGCTGCCAGTTTCCCAGTTGAAACTATGGTTGACTCTGTCCATGTGTTGTGAGATTAAGGAGTTTTCATCATGTCTTCTGAGTGCTAGTTGATGTTCATGGATGTGCTCTGCTAGTCTTCTGCCTGTCTGTCCTACATAGTGGCTGTTACTTTCCTTTTCTTGTATGTTGTAGATGACTCCTGTTTTTTCTTCTTGGGTTACTGGGTCTTTTGGTTAACTTAAGATGTTTTGGAGGGCTTTAGTTGGTTTGTGTGTACAGTGATGCCATGTGGTTGTAATAGTCTGTTAGTTGTTTCTGAGATGTTTCTGATATATGGCAGTGTTATCCTTTTCATAGCTTGTATTTGTTGTGCTGTAGTGGGTTGAGTGGTCAGGCACTTTTTGATAAAGCTGCGTGGGTATCCATTTTGTTGGAAGATGTTGTATAAGTAGTCTGTTTCCTTCTTCTGATGTTCTGGGTTGCTGCAGCGCGTTTGTGCTTGTCTGAATAATGTTCTTACACAGCTCCTCTTGTGGGAAAATGGGTTGTTACTTTGGTAATGTAGCACTTGATTAGTGTGGGTTGTTTTTTGATATCTATGATTACCTGTTGCTGGATATAAAGAAAACAAGATTACTTATCTTTTAAACTCTGCTTGTGAACACTGAATACAGAAAGGTGGACTACATGGACCTTGCCCTAATTCCTCAAGGCAATGATTTTTTTCCTGAAGTTTCTTGTTCTCTGGAGCACTTTCCCCTCCTGAATCCATAACTTTTATGGAAACTCAAAATAGTAAACCTTCAGGTCAAAACAGGTAACTCTACTGAATACTCAGTTCTTGTGAATACATCAATGTGGCAGACACTGCAGAGACAGCAAATAAGCCTGCCTATCTGGGTCATGACAGGGTGAGGACAAACCTAGACAAAGCAGAAGTACATGCTATCAGCTTTGCTGCTGTGTTATTTATGGACATCTCAAACAGAAGGGGCATTCTCACACACGAGGATTAAACAGATTGCAGTATGAATGTAAAACTTGCTTGGTTGAGCACATTCCATTTTAGAAATAGCTCTTCACATTCATACATGGCGCAATGTAGCAAGAGTCTTCAAGATATTTTTAGTGTTACATGTATATTTCATTCCATGAGAAGAAAACATTCTTCTTCAATATAAATAGCTACTATGAAAAATGTGCACAAGTGTATATATGCATGAGAGAGGGACAGAATGAACACTGTATACACATTTTTTTGACATCTGAAATCTGAAGTCTCTGAATCTGGATTCCAGTCTAAAGAGGGAGAGACTGTTGTAATAACATTTATGTGTTTGTTCATTTTCAGATACCGACAACCTGTTTTTCCATTAGAACCAACATTCAAGGTGCCTAATTAAATGATATAAGAAAATACAGATAGAAAAACAACAACAAGAAGAATTTTAAAAACCCAGTGGTTTAGAACATGTATTAAAACAGCATGCTGAATATAAAAATAAAACTACCCCCAAAGAGCAAGAACCACGGCCAAATAAGATTTCAGGCTGATTCAGTTCTCCCTTTCCAAATACCCCTGAAACCGAAATATTGTTATAAAGTGATGGGAAGCAAGAAGTGAGAGTTAGAGGAGCTTTCTAAAGAAGACAATTCTAGAGTCTGGATGTCATTTTTGAGTACAGTGTCTCCCCGCCCCTGCCAAGCACCCCATCTGAGGGTAATGGGGAAACAGATTTACTACAGCCATACTGAAGTGTTCATCCAAACCTTTAGCAATTATTTTTTCTTTGATTACCTACAAAACAAAGCTATTTCACCTGAAGGGTAGAATCCAAACTTCTTGAGGTACGAATAGTTGCAAAGTACATGTATGGCTATGAATTAACCAAGGTTTCTTTTTCCTTGTCCAAAAAAAGTCAGCGCTATCAAGGTGACCTAACATCCTGTTGCACTGAATGGTCTCAGGCCTTCCAGGAAGTTGGCCTGGAAGAAACAGTGGAAAGAGCTTCACAGTTGTGGGAGCAAAATGGGGTCTTTAAAAAACAGCAAGAAAGCACCTTGCCGAAAACTATCAGAGAAGTCCCACCACCACCAAAAGGGCAGATTTCTGCACCACATTGGGGGGTGATATTTGGGGGAAAATGAAAGGAAGATTGCAACTTATCAGTAGTAACTGTGGTGTAACCTTCCAGTCTCTCAGAAGTAGATCTTGCTGGGCTGATTTCCAGTTAAGTATTGAATTGCATTGAGGGAGCTTCTCTTGAAATGCAGGGGCTTAAAATATTTTTTCCTGCTCTGACGTTATTCTGGCCGTGAGGCAAATAGTTGGTAAATGACATTTAATATAGGGATGCACAACCTTTCGGTTCCTAGAAGGGGTGAGGGGTGAAGATCTCAGTTAGTGGAGTACTGATGCAAAATAGGTGGGGAGCATTACACCAATAAGCTATTTTCTGAAGTTCTTTTTCCTACTGGGGAGCTGTCCCCCCCCCCCAACTTATTAAGCCTATTTTAAGACTCACAGCAGACTTTTTATGTGCTTCCAGACTCAAAAGGCTGGAAAACATGTATGATTTTTTGGCACTCCTGGTTGTTGGAAGCTTTGAAATCCACAATAAAGAATAGATTGCCCACTTCTTCTTTAATGGCTAGATCACTATCAAATGTTTGCTATTTTCCTGAACGGCAGCTGTGACAGTTTGACTACAATGACATATTGTTTGTTTACATGATTTTTAGTAAGTATTTAAGCCAAAATAGCAACTTCTCTAAGGCCCTTTCCACATCACTATCATTTTGCTCTGCAAATTGCAGAACCATTTTCACACTGACCTTGAAATGCAAAGAATACCAAATAAGGGTGACCTCAAATCAGTACATCCTTCAGCTGACCAGGAGGAGTGTGCAATGTCTTGCCCTGTCCCATACATGGTTTGTTGGCTTGGCATTTAAAACATCTGGGCCTTTGCAATCAGGGAGCTGCAAACCATCAAGGCGCTATTTCTTTATGTGATTTATTAAAACCACAGAGACATGAGAATGTGAAGTTGCAGCAGGGGGAGGCAACCCAGGAAGTCCTTGCTAATAGGAAAACAGTCTCCCTCCAAATTCCACAGCTACCACACTGAGCCAATGATGTAGAATCACATGGGTACAGAGCCTGTCAGGAAGTGGCACACTTTGCTGGAGTCCCCTAATAGTTTACATTTTGTTTCAAAAGCTATTGCAATTCTGAAATATTTGAGCAAGATAAGATTAGGTTCTGAATGGGCGCATAATCAATGGCCGAAGGCAACAATTCTCTAGTGTAGCCTTTACCAACTTGATGCTCACAGTTGTCTTTGCCCTACAGATTCCTCGAATTCCAAGCCAACAGGCCCTGCTGGAATAGAGGGACTGTAGTTCTAATCCACCTGAAGATGGGAACCCTAATCCGATCTGAAGCTGTGGAATATTTATCTGGTATAGAAAAGAGAGAATAAGGGGAGTGCATTGAAAACCACAATAACCACAGCATGAGTTCAGTTGGCTCTTTATGGCCAGAAAAAATAGAGCTGGAAAGAAAGGAAATGTTTACCCCTAGGTGGCAAAAATGTGAACCTGCTTCCATTTCCATGCAAGATCTGACTGATTCTGAAAAGTGAAAGGCTGATAAAAGGGGGCATTTGAATTGGTAGGGGAAGAGTTGTGATGAATGTATGCAATGAAGTCCTAACTAGAGAGTTTTGCTATTGTTTTAAATCAAAAGCAATTTTAGGAGAAAAGGGGGTAGAAAGAAAGGTTGCTTTTCCTGAGGGCTCTTTTTGCTCAAAATCACCCTCCTTCCCCAGGCACTTTACAGGCTGCGTTCCAGTTATGTTTAAGTAGTGCCTAGAGACCCAAGGGAGGGAAGGACCTTGACATTTTATACATAATGACTTAAAACAATAGTGCAAACACACTTAATGGAAAGCAAGTGGGAGATTTGCATTTCCTCTACAAAGCAAACAATGGATACTTCTATAGCCATGTATTTTAGGTCTTCCTTTAGGTTGGTGGGGAAAAAAACCCACAACAAAAACGTTGAGATGATTTTCCTTCAGGAAAAGAGGAAGCTATAAATGTTTTTAGAAATAAAATGATCACATAACAACTAAAGCAGTGGAATGATTCTCTTGTTTCTCTCTTTTGCCCACACTTTGCTAGTTTTCTCGTTCCACAGAAGTAACAGAGAAGAAATGAACAGCCCATGAGAGCAATGTCATCGGATGCCCTGTACTAGGCAAAGAGGATGAAATGGGCATCACAGTATCACAGTGTAAATCTCCACCTTCCGTACTTGCATCCCAATATTGTAACTCAAGTCTATAAGTCATGTAGTTTGTGCTGCAACGTGTGTTGTCACCCTCTGGCAGACACCCATGGTTTTGTGCCAGTTTTGTAAGATTTCTTCACTCAGAGCTTAAGGCAAATATGCAATAACATCTGGAGAAAACAAAAAATAGCAGCCAACATAACCAATTTTAATATGTAAGTATAATGCTGTTCTTGGGGAAAAAAACCCCCAGCAACTTCTCTCCAAGATAATCAAAAGCGTTCCATAAAATAATATTCAGAATAATACTCATTATAGAGGAAGTACAGTGTGGTGTTTGGATTGCAAATAAAATCCAAGGAAAACAGTTACCATTGTTTTCCTGCCAAAAATGAACAAGACCAAAGGAAATGAAGGTGTACACTCTGAATGACAAAGCCTTGTATTACATTCCAAAAGAGTTTGTAAACCCTGAGTTAGGTTCATGCAAAGTAGTAATGGTCTCTTGCAACTGAACCCCATGGTAGAAGAATTGTGTGTTAAAGATGGTTTAAAGAGGGCAGAATAAATTACTGGATTTCTTCATAGCACCAAAAATTATATGTGTGCAGAGCCCTGCCACATTCCAGGGGGAATTGTGGCTGCTTCCAAGTGCTACTGAACCAGCCTACCCACGCAATAGGGTGTATTGCACTCCCTGAGTTCATCTGCTCTGTTATGTCCACACTGGATATCACACTATCACACTGCTGGAAGATGTGATATACCAGCATAGATTAACATTATGCTGTGATGGTATTATATTTCTTTCATTTAAAATAAGAGCTAGTCAGTGAATTTTAGCTATAACTAAAAGTTCCATTTTAAAAAGTGGAGCCATAAAATGACACTGCTTGGTTACTGCTATTAAATTACACATTGTGTCTTTAAATTAGCAGGGGGCCTTCCTATAAGAACAGAATTGGGGAGATATTGACAATGCTTTAAATATACCAACAAATATGGCTGCCAAACACATCATGAATGAAACAGAAGTTCTTGGAAACTCAGCAGGTAGAAGACAGCCAGAGGTGAGCTGTTAAAATCAGTGTATGTATTTGGTGCCAAATTTTACACTGACACAGTATACTGAGGCTATACCCCGAAAATGTATGGCCATCATCTATATATAACCTTCTGTCAGCAGTTTTTTAAAGACAGAAGATTCAGTGGAATTTAGAAGCTCTGATAACCTTACATGAGTCTATGTGGATCTTTCAGACACCTGCAAACTGTTTTGTCTAAGGAAATAAAATGTATTTATTCAATTACATTGCAGGCCATTTAAGAATGTGTGGGTTAACAGAAGAGAGAAGAGGAATTTTAAAAAGCCACCAAGAATGTTTGTTTTTTTTAAAAGTGCAATAGATATATGTCCCACATCTCTTTTCTTTTATTTTTAACGTGAAATACTCCGCAAATGAAAATGTTTTTTACCAAATGACCCAACTGGTAGAGAATTAACTAAATAATAATACAGGAAGTGTGTATGTCTGCATGGGTAAGGAGAAAATTTAGATCTGATCCTTCTCATATAGATATTAGATATTAAATGATGCAACAGTGGTACAGTGCTTGGAGCACCCTTTCCAGCCTAGCATTCACTAGAACATCTAAGGACGATTGCAATTATAGCATATGTTATGAACTATACACCCCCTCTTACATTCTTTGGAGAACATATATTCAATGTGTATTAAAATAAATACACAAACTAATACTGGGTTTTTAAAAGTGTCCTACATCTGTACCTTCAGTAACTGAAACAAGACCAGACAACAAACAGAAACTGAGATGGCATTGATTGTACTTTTGGATGACCTCTGGTAAGACCAGAATGGGGATGGTGCAACGTTTCTGACCCTTCTTGATCTTTTGGTAGCATTTGATACCATCCATCATGGTATTCTTCTAGAACAGCTCTGGAGATCAAGAATGGCATGAACTATGTTGCAGTGGTTCTCCCCCTCCCTCCAAGGCCAGCTCCAGTTGATAATAGTAGGCTTGAAGAGATGTAGATCAAGGCCCCTGCTTTACAAATTTTCCATGGTTTGATTCTTTCCCCACTCCTATTTAAAATCTACATGAAACAACTGAGCAAGGTCACCTGATGGATGGGTTAAGTATCATCAATATGCTGATGATATACAGCTATGTATCTTGACTCCTGGCTGTCCAAGTGCTGTTCTCAAGGTTCTCTCACAGGAAAAACAAGCTTAGGCTCAACTCTAGCTAAGCCGAAAAACTAGATTTAAGGACCATCCTATTCCAGAGACTTTCTAACAACCAAGCAGGATGTGCCAGAACTGGAGTGCAATTTGAGGGGTCCAACTAAACTCTTGGTGCTTGTTCAATAAGGACCTTAAAGAGGGTTAGGAGGATCTTCATACTAGTCCATCTTGTGTATGAATTGTGCCCATTCCTGGATCTGGAGGCTACTCACTCACACCTTAGTCACTTCTCATTTGGGGTACTGCAGTGTGCTGCACATAGGGCTACCTTTGAAGACCATTCAAAAGCTAGAGCTCATCCAGAATGTGGCAGCACAAGTAGTTATGGATGCATCTTGCTACACCCATGTGGCAACTCTACTTCATGAGCTGCACTACTTGGCTAATTGACTTCCAGGTGCAATTCAAAGTGCTTATGATAATCTATAAAGTATTTCAAGGTTTAAGGCCTGGATATTTGTAGAGCTCCCTATATCCAATCATCTCTGCCTGCCCTATAAGGTCTGATATGGTTGGAATGCTTTGGGTCCCATCAATAAAGTAATACCATCTTAATGGACCCAGAAGGCATACCTTCTCTGCCCCCATGCTTATCCTCTGGAACAGCATTCCTCCCAACGTCTGTGGGGCCCCAGCCGTGCTGCTTTGATGACATTATAATGCGATGTCACATTCAAGAGATTCTGATAACCTTCTTCAGCTTTGCAACCTTCTCTAGATGTGTTGGATTTCAAATCTTTTGTCTATGCAAAATAAAATGAAAACAGTGAGAAATATAAACATTTGCATAAAGAAGAAGGAATGTTGATGAAACAGACTTCTTATTTGTGATTCTGTGAGGTGCCATCTGCTCTTTAATGTCTCATTTTGGTTTTTTATGTATGAAAGTTCTAATTTGTGTAAATAGAAAGTATACTAAAGTTATGGCAATTTTTTGTAATGGGTAAATATCAAATTAAGAAGAAATATGGTTGAAAAAAAGATTTTAAATGTTCACACTTACCTTGACCACAACCCAATTTTTGCAGAAAAATGTATCTTCTTAGAAGCATATCTGTCATACAAAGTTAAACCAACTTCTAATTTGTTATGGATTCTTACATGGTAGCTGAACAGATATTGCAAGCATGCTGAGAAAAGTTTGTTGGAGCTTTTATATTAAACCTCTCAGAGTTCCTTAGCTTGGTGCTTTGATGATTAAACAACTCAAATTGTTTTAGATGTGCAGCATCTATGTGCCTTTTGGGCTTATTATCATCTCACTCTTGAAATAGTTTCCTGCGATTTTCCTAATGACAGATCAATGTGAAAAGTGGGCAAGGCTGCATCATTGCAGGAGTAGCTTTAAGCAGGGGAGTATGGGTGCAGCAAGAAATAAAAATAATAGAGTAAGTCACATTTATGGAAATTAGTGCTTATCTTTTAAAAGAGAAAAACACTTATAATAGGAAATTACATTAAGAAAAGCAACCTGATTTAGATGTATTCTGAGTAAAAGAATGAAAGGGTCTCTGATCTGCTAGACCACATGGAGCCTGGCACAATATGCACTCCATG